TCCTCTTGTGGTTCGGTTTGGAAGTATTCGAAGAGAAGGTTCAAGGTTTACCTGAGGTTCAGTTGTTGATGAAGCATCAAGAGAAGGTGACAATTGTTGTAGTTCTTCAAGTTCAGCTCTATTATCTTGAACATAAGGTTCGGGATCAGTTTCTAGAGATTCAGATCCATGATTTTCGAATTCTTGTAAGTTCAATTCAGTACCCATTTCTTCATAAAGTAAGTCAAGTTCGGGATGTTCAGGTTTAGTTTCAAGTTCCACTTCAGGTGTTGATTCAAGTTCAAGTTCAGGTTCGGGATTATGGCCAAGGGACTGCAACTGCAAGTCAATACTTCTTTCCCCCTAACTTGCAGTAGAGGTAGCAGGAAAAAACATCTGATGTTCATGGAATTGGACATCTATAGTAACATACATTTTTCGAGTTGGTGGGTGGTAACACCTATATCCTTTCTGATGAAGTCCATATCCAACAAAAACACATCGAATAGCACGTGGTTGAAGTTTATGGCGAGTATGATGTGGTAAGTGGACAAAGGCTTTGCATCCAAAAACTTTTGGAGGCAAGTTTGGTAGTAGTGGTGAGCTAAGGTTGTGATTTAGTGTTTCAAGTGGGGTATGAAAGTCCAAGCTACGGGATGGGATACGATTTATCAGATAAGAGGCAGTAGTGAGAGATTCTCCCCAATAATTAAGTGGCATCTTGGCTTCAAATAACATAGCTCGAACCATATCTAAGAGGTGTCGATTTTTTCTTTCGACAACCCCTTTTTGTTGAGGGGAATATGGACATGTAGTTTGATGGATGACACCATGAAGTTGTAAGAACAGCCTCAGTTCATGATTAATGAATTCTCCTCCATTATCAGTCCGAACGACTTGAATTGAAGTTTTATACTGAGTGGTAACCATCAAATAAAATTGCTTGAATAATGAGCAAACATCCAGCTTAGTTTTCATCAAACACACCCAAGTCATACGACTATAATCATCAATAAAAGAAACAAACCACCGAGATCCATTCAAAGTTGGAACCTTTGCAGGTCCCCAAACATCAGAGTGTACAAGCATAAAT